CGCACGGCAATTTCAATTTCCATCCCCGATTCTTCTGCTTGACCCAATACTTCTACAATTTTTCCTGATGGCAAAAGATTACGTCCAGGAAACGTGTGCAGTTCGACCGTTACGATCTGCCCTGCCGTTGCTTTACCTATATGTTCTAATACCAGCGTGATGTCTTGCTTAAAACGCTGATCTTCGGGCGTGACAAACCATTCGCCCTCTTCGTGAAATAAACGTCCCACCACATACAGATTAGCATGTTCGGTCACTTCCACAATACGCCCTTCAGGACGACCGCGTCGGTCAAAGCCCATTGGCCGAATTAGTACGCGGTCGTTATGCATGGCTTTTTGCATTTCAGCAAAGGGCAGAAAAAGATCTGGCTGACCATCATCGCGAATTAAAAACCCAAAGCCATCACGATGCGCTTGTATCCGTCCAGCAATAAACTGTGACGTATCTGCTGCCTCAAAATTGCCTTCAGAATTTCTTTTAGCCTGCCCATCGCGCTCCATCGCAGATAAACGCTTGAGAAGCCCTTCTTGCTGTAGCACATCGAGCGCAAAAATGTCACAGAGTGCGTCAAATGCTAAAGGCTGCTCTGCTGCGCGCAGCGTAGCGAGAATGGCTTCTCGAGAAGGGATGGAATAGGAATAAGGCGTCAAAAGAAAATCCAAAAAAAGAAAAAAGTATAGAAGTAAAAGGCAGTTGTCAAATGCTTATAAATGGGAGAAAAGGCTAAAAAACCGGTCTAAACCGCTCAAAATGCTTGAAAAAGCAAGGCTATTTTTGTCCTCATACTGGGTTTGTAGATCCTCACTGTACTATAAGTGCACTACTCTGGTCACCGCGCTTGCTTTTCCAAATGCAGACCTCGGGCCATTCGCCTATTTATTCTATTGTGGGTGCATCAGTTGATACAACATGCACCTAATTATGAAAAGATGCTTCAAAAATTGGGTGTAAACAGCAAATGATTGTCACATAAGAATTTTTTTAATTTTTTCTTATGTAACGGATGTTATGTAAGTCTTATTTACGCAAGCGAATAGCAGACGCGGGTATAAAAGTTCGCTTGACCATTCTAAATTACGCTTTTACAGCGCAACGCTTTAGGCATCAAACTTTATGATGGCCTGCCTTTTCCCCTTCTCGCCAAAGCCCTTGTTATGATTCCTGCCCTTTTGCTTCGCAGCTTGCGCACCTTATCGTGCACTGTACGTCATACCTTAAAGCAGCCTGCTCTCACCTACTCACTGATTACAGCAGCATTTCTGGCTGGTTGTAGCACCACTTCTTCGCATAAAGACCTATCGCAGTCTGCTGCGCAAGAAATGACGCAGCTCAAAGAGTATAAAGTGAAAATTGCCCAAAAAATTCAGCAGGAAAATAGTCCGCTGCTGGCTTCTGGGAGCCCACAGTCCATGCTACGCTCTGTGGTAGTGATGGCCTTTAAAGTGAATAAACAAGGGCAGCTGGTAAGTTGGTCGGTATACCGCACCAACGGCGATGCGCAAGCCGAACAAGTTGCATTATCCAGTCTGCAACGTGCAGCGCCTCTGCCTTTACCTCCTAGCGAACTCTTTCGAAGCGCAGGCGAAATTGAAATTGTCGAGGGCTGGCTCTTTAATGACGATGGCAAGTTCCAAATTAGAACGCTAGCGTCTCCACAGCGCTAACCACCGAGTGCGCTCGCTGTATTCCAAATGCAACAAGGGCTGTTTCTGTAAACAGCCCTTGTTGCATTTTGGCGTGTTCTCAATTGCCTCAAAGGAAACCTATTTGGGGGAGCAGGAGCACAGGGGCCGCAACAGACTTAAGACTGTGAATACCTGGCACCGCACGACCTCAAAGATGGACCCTTTGGGGTAATTGAGGACACGCCCTATCGGAAATACGCCTTATCTCATGCTTGAGGAATTTCAATTTTCACTTCCAGCACTTCCAGTTGGTCTTGCCGCTCAAGATGTACCTGAATATCTTCATTGGCAATTTTGACGTACTTTGATACTACCGCAATCAATTCACGTTGCAACTCAGGCAGGTAATTTAACCGAGGAGCTGTATCGACCCGTTCATGGGCGATAATCAGCTGCAAACGCTCTTTAGCAAGCGTTGCAGATTTCTTTTTTTCACGCAATAAAAAAGAAAGTATTGACATAGTTCTTCCTTTTTTACTTATTACCAAAAATACGCTTAAGCAAGCTTTGCTTTTCATAACCTATATACCGCATAGGCCTTTCTTCACCCAGAAAGCGCGCAATCACATCTTGATAGGCACTTGCAGCATCGGCCTCTGGAAGGCAGATAACAGGGGTGCCCTGATTAGAAGCTTGCAGCACATGGGGCGACTCTGGAATCACGCCTAGCAAATCAATGCGCAGAATTTCCTGGATATCGGCCACAGAGAGCATTTCACCTTCGTGAACCCGTTTTGGATTATAACGGGTAACCAGTAAGTGCTCTTTAATAGGCTCGCTACCTTCCTGAGCACGCCGTGTTTTGGAAGAAAGCATGCCCAAAATACGATCTGAATCTCGAACAGAAGATACCTCAGGGTTAGTCACAATCAGTGCTTCGTCTGCAAAATGCATCGCAAGCAGCGCACCTGACTCGATTCCCGCAGGAGAATCGCAGACGATATATTCAAAACCCATCGCCTTGAGCCCCTCTATGATGGCTTCAATCCCTTTTTCAGTGAGCGCATCCTTATCACGTGTTTGTGACGCAGGCAGGATATATAAGTTGCTACATTTTTTATCTTTAATGAGTGCTTGATTAAGCTGCGCCTCTCCCTGAATCACATTGATCAGGTCATACACCACGCGCCGCTCGCAACCCATAATTAAATCTAGATTGCGTAAACCCACATCAAAATCGATTACCACTGTTTTATAACCGCGAAGGGCTAAGCCAGAAGAAAAGGAGGCGCTAGTAGTCGTTTTACCAACGCCTCCTTTGCCCGACGTCACCACAATAATTTTCGCCATATTTTTCCTGTGAATTTTTGAATCTTAATTTTTTGAATATAGAAAATCGTAGGTTGGGGGCAATAAAGGAATCCAATATGCTCACCACAAGCCTTTGCGTATTTTTCCAGGACTTTTTTGCGTATTAAGGGCACCCCTACATACTAAGCGGCTCGATAATCAACTTCTCATTCACTAAGCGCACTTGCACCGATTGACCCCGTCTTTGCATCAACAAAGCGGCTTCAGCCGTTCCGTAAATACCCGCGATCGAAACCAGCTCTGCTTCTAAGCAAGAACAAAAAATACGTGCCTGCGTATTACCCGGTACGCCAGCAAGTGCCCGTCCCCGAAGCGGTGCGTAAATATATAAATTACCTTGCGCCATAATCTCTGCGCCGCAATTTACAGGGGCCAACACAATCAAATCTCCGGGCGCATAAATTTGCTGCCCAGAGCGCAATGGCTTATCCAAAATCATAGGTTGAGCAGAAGGTGCAGGCATCCTTGCAAGCGATGCAGACACCGATGCTGGAGTACGCTCTATCGCAACCGTGCTGTTACTTAATTTGGCTTGCGTAACAGTACGAGCAGTCCTAGCAACAGGTACATCACGCCGCTTACCGCGGCTTTCCTGCGCATCAAGCACAGGCAGTCCGCTTGATTTAACCCAAGCAAGCTGCGCATCCTCTGCCACCACCCCTATCGGGCACATATGCCTTTGCTTTAGCAAAGCCACCAAAGCAGGGAGAGAAATAGAAGCATTTGCATCCAAAGCACGCACATCGATGACCACTCCTTCATTTGCAAAAAATGACTGAGTTGCACCAAAACGCTGCTCAATTTCTGTATATAGAACATCTAAATCAGGGTCTCTGACCACGAAAAGAAGCGTATCAAGCGTGCCACTACGCAGCTCAAAACTACTCGTTTTCTGAAGATTCGATAGACTCGACATAGCTCCCTAGCCGAAAAAATTGGCTATTCTAACGTTCTCTTGGAAACAGGCGGCTTTTTTTGAATTCCAAGAGAATACGTAAGACTATCATTTAAGACAATTCCGATGAAAGATATAAGATATATTTTTTAGCTATTTTAATTAACACTCAAGATTGCAAGCTGCATTTATAAAACAGCGCATCTACCGCCAACCCCTTATGCTTGCTGCCTAGGCGTCACATTTCTCATTTTACTGGCCATGATTATTATTTTGTCTCCCGCCAAGTCACTGGACTTTCACACTCCGGCTCAAACACAGCGACATACTTTTCCTTCATTAATTAAAGAATCTTCCACGCTCATGGCAACTCTGCAGGCCTTATCCATTGAAGAGCTTGGAAATTTAATGGGGATCTCGGAAAAACTAGCCCAGCTAAATTGCGAGCGCCACACCCAATGGGCGCAGCAAGTAGAGAACAAACAAGGTAAACAAGCACTTTTAACTTTTTCAGGAAGAGTCTACGAAGGCATACAAGCCGCATCTTTCTGCGAAAAAGAGCTGGACTATGCACAAGAGCATGTACGCATCCTCTCAGGCCTATACGGCGTGCTCCGCCCTCTTGATTTGATTGCTGCTTATAGACTAGAGATGGGTACACATTTAAAAAATGCTCAAGGACGAGACCTCTACGCGTTCTGGGGCAAAAAACTTGCCCACACCTTAAATACCGCACTTACCACACACTCCACCCGCACCATCATCAACCTTGCATCACTGGAATACTTCAAAGCCATCCAAACTGCACACTTAGACGCACAAATCATTACTCCAGTTTTCCAAGAACACAAAAGTACAGGCTATAAAATTATTGGTGTTCAAGCAAAATATGCACGCGGTTTAATGACGCGCTTTGCCGTCACACAGGCTATTGAAAATCCAGAAGACCTAAAGCGCTTTAACGCAGAAGGCTATAGCTTTACACCAGAAGCTTCCACACCCACCACATGGATTTTCCGCCGCGATCCCCCTACACAAGCAAAATAACCCTTCTTGAGCCGCTTGTATTGAAAGTACGGTCGTTGACCTATAGAATCGCCCTTCTTGCGGGCGTCGTATAATGGCCATTACCCTAGCTTCCCAAGCTAGAGACGTGGGTTCGATTCCCATCGCCCGCTCCAGATATCGCTTTACAGACCATCTTTTTTTATTATAAACCCGAGCAGCCATAAGGTTCCTCGGTTTTTTTGTTGTCTTTTTCTATCTACTTTTTCTATTGACAGCATGGAAAATTGCGGAGATATGTCAAATTTCTTATAGAAACCCTAGATAGTTTGACAGTTTGGCATACGTATGAAATTCTGCGGTAATAAATTGGGTTGCCCCCATTCTTGCGCCGCTATTCTTGCCGCTTGAATAGAAGTAAGCAAAATATTAAACCATATATTAGCTCCCTCAAGCCACAGCATCGCCATATGATTTTCGTGATCTTTCTCGATAAAGTGTAAAATACAGCCAAGGGCGGCAGTTATGCCAGAGACCGCAATTAATGCATAATATGAATAATAATAATTGTTATCCAGTCTAGCCCACCATTGCACCGCAGGCCAAAAGCAATTTGTCGGTTGTTGCTCAATCCGTGAATGGTTTATTAATATCATACCCTGCTCAGAAGTAGGTTTCGATATTAACAATTTTGTTATTACTTTTGCCCCTTTAATATAATAACTAGAGCAGGAAAATACGTATTTAAGATCCCGTAAAACGGTAAGAAAAATATTGACAATGTGAGTAGCCAGCATCTCTTTATGATTTTCGTGATATTTTTCAACACAATGAAAAAGGAAAGTCGCTATAGACACTCCTAAGCAAAATGCTGAGAGTATGAGTGACGCATACTCTTTTTGATCCAAATCCGCATGGCTTTGAATATAAGGCTCGAAGCGGTCCATTGGCATAGAAAAACGAAATGGGAGTGTATACGCTTGTTCGATCTTGCAATTACCCACAATTATGAGCGAGTTCAAACCCTAACTGGATGTCAATAAG